ACACACACACACACACACACACACACATAGTTTGGGCTTCCTTACCAGTCACATAAATGTCTTTCCTTATAGCTGATTAAAACAAAAGCCTGAAAAATTGTTTATTTTGCTTTTTTGGCTAGCCTGGGTACATAGCTATTTATGTCCCTTTTTTTCCATGAGAAAATGAAAAAAAAATGAGTAATTATGGTTTGAGTTCCATATAATCTTTATGAACTAAACTTTGCTGGTTGAGCATCCTAATCCAAATGCTCTGAAATAGAAAATATAAATGAATTGTATTTTTAGAGTTGAGTCCCATCTCCAAGATATCTCATTCTTTCTATACATGCAGATATTTCTTTTTTTTGTTTTATTGTTTTTGTATTTTATTGAATTTATTGGTACCTTCTAGGTAGACAGTAGTTACATTCATTACTGGGATCTTGTACCTTTACATGACAGGTCTTGGTTTTCATTTTTCCCCTTGTCCCCACCCTCCCTTTACGCCCTCTTCTGTTTGTTTGTTTGTTTGTTTGTTTGTTTGTTTTGAGACAGGGTCTCACCATGTAGTTAGACTGACCTGGAACTCACTATGTAGCCCAAGCTGGTCTCAAACTCTCAGTGATCCTCCTGCCTCAGCCTCCTGGATGCTGGGATCACAGGTGTGTGCCACTACGCCCGGCTTACCTGCAGATATTTCAAACTCTGAAATACAAAATACTTCTGGTCCAAGCAGTTTTAGGTAGATACTCAACTTACACTATACAAAATGGAATTCTAAGGAAAAAGTCCTTTTTATCTTTTGTTTTATAATTTATATTTTCCAGATTTCATTGAAATAGCCCAGTTGTTTGGTTTGGCTCCTTTTAGTTAAAAACCACTAAACTCTTCTTGTATGCTAAAGGCTATGCTAGTGATCCTGGGTCCAGATGATATCAGAAGTCAGATTAGATCTGAAATCTCAGAGTTTCCAGTTTGTTTAGGAAGCTTCCAGGACATCTTAATTCTGACAGTGATCCTCTGGTAGCTATCCTCTGTACCAGATCTGGATTTGGGTATTTTCCTGAGAACATGTTGTATTTTCTCAGGAAATAAATATAATAAGGAAACGGCTATTGTTAAATGTATGATATTAACTAAATCTGGGTTATTTACAGACTGTGGCTGCAAGCTCACCAGTGAGTAATGCTCATGAGTTGGAAATACAGCTGAAAGATGTAAGTTTATTTTTTTCTTACATATAAGTAAAGAGGACTAGTTTATTCTTACATTTCATGGAAATTGGCAGCATGAGTGCTATGACTTGAGAAACAAAAAGCTAGTGATGAGATGAGAGAATTGAAGTGACTTGTGATCATTGTTGTAAGTCTCTTTCTGGGAATTCAAGAGGACCATTTCCTCAAAGCATGGCCTTTGTTGGCCAGAAAGCCCTAGAAACCACCTACCAGATACCTCAACATTATCCCTTATTCACTGATGCTGATTTGCCCAGTTATTTTTATGGTAATGTAATTTCATTTATAGTTTTTCACTTTTTGTTTATCCATACAACATGTACCCTTTAGTTTGAAATCTTAGAAATGAGGTTATTTTAGATATATGCTAAAGCTGTATTCATATTGAAATCTTAGGTGGATAGTTACTTGTGTTGGGAATTGAATGACTCAGATTCATAATTGCTATTTACCATATATTTTCTTCAAATTTTGATATTAGATTACAGTGGAAAGTTCCAGATTTAGTTAAGTCACTAGGTTAGGAATTTTGATTGCAGAAAGGTCACTGACCTCTGCACTGATAAGCCTGCCCTTAAGATGCTTGCTTTGTGCCATCTATCAAGTGTCTCTTAAGGTCTATTTGATCTTTAAGAGAATTTAGATCTCTTGAGCATCTGTATGCAGGTGTAACAGTACGTTTATCAAAGTGATTTATGTAGAGGTAGCAGAAATAGAAACAACATAATTTTTTAAAAAAATTATTAAAATAGGGGTTTTGTGTTGTATGTTACACTACACTTCACTGTTTTATATGTGTTAGATGTATATGTTTATGGATAATTTACCTTACACACTTTATTTCTCCCACACTGGCTTTCCAGCTGCTTGTTGAAGATACCACCTTTTCTCTTTCTTTTCCCTGTGCCTGGAACACTGTGGAACACTGTTCTGCAGATACCTTCATGACTCCCAAACCTTACTCACTTGCTTGGGGGGTGGCAAGGGATTCCCTAGCTACCTTGTCTAAAATTATAGCTCTCAGACAATTCCTGTTCCTCCTTCCTGCTTTTTCCCCCTTCATCACATATTACTATTTATATTATAGTCTATTTTACTTCCTTCTCTTGTTTATTGTCCTCTTCCATTATGATAAGTTATATGAGGGAAGAGTTTTTTCATGTTTCGTTTATTGCTGTGTCCTTGGTATTTAGAAAATTTGAAAGAATGAATAGAATCTTAGGAAGTTTCTCGAGTTTCACTAGTGTCTCTTGTAGAAAAGAACTTCAAAGTAATGCGGTTCTCTTGAACTGATACATAATTTTTAGGCTTTTGAGGGCTAACTGCTTCAAATAGCAGCTAAAATTATTTTTAGATAATAACCATTCTTTCTGTGGAATTAACTTTGAAATATTACATGTTTATGCCCAATCTTCTTTTTATTCTGTTTTATCTTCCTGGTTTATTTAAGGATCACATTGTGCTGCTCTGTTCTTTTTACCTTAGAAAGAATTTTAGTCAAATGCAGTACAATTTAATCCAGATCACCTTCAAATGGTTTCACACTCAGTGTACGAATCTGGTGAATCTTCTTAAAGTGCAAATCTGATTTAAAAGCCTTGGAATGCAGCCTGAGACTGCATTTCCAGCAAGCCTCCAGGTCACACTGCTGCTACTGCTGGCCAGGAACTATACTTGGGGTACCATTAACTTATGTGTGAGGAGCCAGGGTTTGATTTAGCTCTGCTTTTATTCTCCAGATCTCAGTAAATGTGAGTCCAGGGAGAACGTTGCATTTAGAGGACTTAGGGAAAAACATATCTCCCTCCTCAGTCCCCACACACTGTCCCTGGAACATAATTTGACTTTTGAGATCTTAGCAGTTCTAATGGCATCACCCTCTTTTTTTGTTTGTTTGTTTTGTTTTTTTGAGACAAGGTCTCACTATGTAGTTGAGACTGACCTGGAACTCACTATGTAACCCAGGCTCGTCTTGAACTCACATTGATCCTCTTGCTTCAGCCTCCCGAGTGCTGGGATTACAGGCATGCGCCGCCATACCTGCCTTCCATCACCCTCTTAAGGTCCCCAGAAAACTTCCCGATGTACCTTGCCCCCCACCTATTTTAGAAATCCCTATGTATATATTTTTAAAAAGCCTTAGAAACCCATGTATACGTTTTGTTAAGGCCTAATTATATCCAGATCTGACTGACATTTTAAAACAAGTACCTGGAGTTATTAATGCTGCAAACATGGCCAAATGTCAGTACTTTTTATATTTAAGAATTATTTTAGCACAGACTAGATCAAGACAAATAGCTAAAAGGTAGTTTAATTGGCATTTTTGCTTTTAATTGTAAGAAAATATTATTTGTAAATATAGACTTTAGGGAAGATAAGTAGAATTTTTTTTTAACCTAGAAAAAAATCAAATTAACAGAAAAATTCCAAGAATGAGAATGGTACCTAAATGTCCATATGCCTTTTACCAAAATTGAACCATTATTAACATTTGGTCTTTTGCATTCTTTTTCTCTCTCATACCCTTTCACATGTTAATGTTTCTGTACTGTTAGAGAGTGAGTTGTACTGTCTACAGCCTTTTAACCCCACATACTTCAGTGTATCTTTCCTAAAGGTGAGGACAATCTCTTACATGACTACAGCTCAGAGAGCAACCTCAGTTATATAGCTAGCTTTTTTCCCCTGTTTTTTGAGGCAGAGTCTCACTATATAGTTCAGGCTGGCCTTGAACTCCCTGTGTAGCCCAGGCTGGCCTCAAGCTTACGGTGTTCTTCCTGCTACAGCCTCCCAGGTGCTGGTATTACCAGTGTGTGTCGCCACTGCACCCAACCCCTAGCTAACATTTTATTCTACAATTGGACTTTTACCCAGAGACTATTTAGTGGATCCCTATCAAAACAGAAGGGAAAACATTAGTGGTGTTCTACAGGACTTTAGTACTTTAGTCCATGTTTTGCCTTTTCTTGACAACTTGGATGACAATGTCAAATACATGCCTCAGAAATGTTTATATGACACAAAGCTAGAAGGGATAACTGATACCATCACTCTAAAGATTCAGAATTAATAGTGTGTGTTTATCAATAGCTATTTATTAATACTATTACAAAGGGAAAAGAACTGATGTATAGTCAGTAGGAAGACTGGAAAATGTTTTTTTTTTTTGAAGTAATATTGCCATCATGTGGCCTTTTAGAATATTACCTTTTAAATCTTAAGCCAACATATATTTTTGTTTCTCAGATTTCAGTAAAGTATTCATAATTTCTTTAAAAGAAAAAAATCAGTGACCACCCAATATTAAATTACTTGTTTTAAAACACTTCTTAAATATTAGAAAATGCAAAATTTGGTATAAATTAGGTATTTCGGCATCTAACACATTGTAATTTATAGGTACTGTATTGGATAGACACATACTTTTTGAGTTTTACAGTGCTGTCTCCCTTACCAAGTAAATCTGAGCACAAACCCAGCGTCCTTTTGAATCTGTCTTTAAAGACGCTTAGAGAATGAACAAGAACCTCACTGGAATAGCGGTGGATCTGATTGAGATAATCATTACTGCAGCCTTCTGTGAAACAGACCATGAATCTTAGCAATCCTTTCAATTATGCTAAGATCACAATGAAGTCAAGATGCGATTATTCATATTTCTCTGAGGCTGATTTTTTTTCCCCAACTTTTATTATGGAAAATTTCAGACATACAGAAAAATTGAAAGGAAGTATATCAAACAAAACCACCATTGTTTGAGGCAGCCTATCAGCTCTTTCTCCCCAATAAAGCCTTTCCTTGGGTGGAAAAAAAAGACCAAAAAAAAAACTGCAGATCTATCACTTAAGATTCAGCGAGAAAGACGCTTTAAATACAGCTTTGTCAATGAAGATAGTCATTCATGAAACTTTACATTGTTGAGGATAAAATACAGAATGCGTGTGCAATATCTCCACCTTGACAAATGAACTCTAAAGCCACACGAGAACTACTATTATTGTTTCCTGAGGAATGCAGAGAGCAGAGTATCTGGACCAGTGGCTTCAGGGTCCGGAACTGCCTTTGGTCCCAGAAGCTGTGTCTATCTTCTTAATCTATCTCTTAACTCCACAGAAAACTTTAGGGCTATTAGGCTCTGCCTGTGTTTTTAAGGCGTGGATGCTCTTACTAGAAAGCAGGTGTCCTAATACACAACCAAAATCTTTAAGTTCCTTAGCTGTTCTTCATCCTGTAACTAGAGGTCTAGGCTATCATCAAAGGAAATAATATATTCTATTTTCAGATTGAAATTAAAATAGAAGAATTTTGTCTGTGTGTGATAGATCATTTTAAGATCGAGAGGGTAATCTGTGTAGTTCTTTAATAGTTACTCATCTGAAATCTTGAAAAATGAAGTCTGTGGATACTCTTACAGGTCTTTGAGATCCAGCTGACTACAAGCCCTGCATTTATAGTATGCCCCATGGACATAAATGAATCAGTTTCTGTCCCTGCTGTACAATGCTGGTGTTCTTCTTTGAGGGGAATAAATAGTACTACTTATCCTGCTTTCCCCCTGTAGAGTGAGAAACAGCTCATGGAGGAGGACAGCCACTCCTTTTTTGGTATTCCTATAACAATTACAGGATGATTCAAAAGAATTGAATACTTTTGGACATGCGTTCCATTATATATGTTTTATTTCCTTAAAATTATACTATGCGACATTCTTGTCAGAAACCCTATTTGTATCATCTCTTTACAGCCTGAAGGATGTAAGTTACACATCATGGTTGCCATGTCAACTTGATAAACAAAGTAAAACATATCTGGGACAAATTATGACACAAGAATACATATTAAACACTTGTAAGATTATAGAAATAGTTAACACAGTTCCATTACAAAGGGGTTATTACATTCTCATGTATGGTTAATCAGTAGCTAATAGATCTTAGTTAGGTCTATTACTTGTTTGATTCTTTTTGATCTGCTCTAAATTTATTGTTCTACTAGGTGTGCAAAGCTGCTAGATTCTTCCGTAGCTTCTTTTTCCTTCTCTAAATGCTCTCCAACTTTAGCTGGGGCTAAAGATCCTCTCTGGTGCTCCCTGGTCCTTGCAGCCATTGTTTCCTGCTCCATTTGTCATCATTATTCATCAGCATTCATCAGGTGGCCATTGGTCTGAAAGCACTTAATAAATACGAAGAAGAATTTTTTAGATGCCTGAAACAAGCAATGTAGCACTTTAGGGAACTGAGGAAAAGGTTAAACTGAACTGGTTTGGAATAGCTATTTTCCCCCGCATTATACAGCGGCCATTGTATAATTAACCTTAAGCTTGTTGCATCTCCACTGAGATGGGAAATCACTTTTCAACTGAGGGTTTCTACTGCAGAGCCAAAAAATAAATGGGCACTTTTTAAAAATGCTCAGAGCAGTCTGGGCTCACCACGATCCTGTAGTGCCTCACTGCTCTCGCAGGCTTTCCTCCAGCGTAGACAGGCCTCAGTACTGAGGAGCTTGGCCGCTGTGAAGGAGTGTCGGGCCCAGGGCACATGTCACGCCTATGAATGATGCCAGGTTTAGAGGAACATGCCCTCTGCAGAAATAGTCATCGAAACTTCTTTCCCCGGCCTTTTGGGAATGTAGAAGGGGGAAACATTCATCCTCGTGGGCCGAACAACTAGATTAGAAGGGAGAATGAAGTTGTAATTGCATTGTATGTTGGTGTTATATAAGAATTTCTAGTCTTTTTCCTCTTTTCATTAGCAGACTTTGTCGCCTTCTCTACCTTGTTTGTTTTTTGTTTTGTCTTTGAGACAGGGTCTCACTGTGTAGTTCAGATTGGCCTTGAATTTGCTATGTAACCTAGGCCTTGCCTCCTGCCTTAGCTTCCTGAGTGCTGGGATCACAGGCTTGCTTTTTTTTTTTTTTTTTTTTTTTTTTTTTTTTTTTTTTTTTTTGAGACAGGGTCTCACTATGTAGTTGAGATTGACCTGGAACTCACTATGTGGCCCAGGCTGGTCTCGAACTCACAGTGATCCTCTTGCCTCAGCCTCCCGAGTGCTGGGGTTACAGGTATGCGCCACCATGCCCGGCTTCTTTTCTAGCTTTTAACTTGAATGTGTTGGGCTACTTACTGAAAGAAATAAAATGTATAAATTTAAGTTTGGCTGTTCTGCAAGTAGACACTGAGATGGAGTTAGGAATGCAGATGGTTTATTGGGGAGCTGCATCTGAAAGGAAAATGTCAGTAATGTCAGGGGGGCAAGGTCTTTGTCAGCCCCTCATCTCATATGCAGTGGAAATTGCTTGTCTCTGCATTGCTGTTGGCTGGGGCCAGGCAGCTCAACCCCCCAAAGTAGAGAGATTTGAAGTCAGAACCGCAGGAGCAGATGAGAAGGGCTCTTTCCTAAGGTGGGATCTGAGTAGCTCATTTCCATGGCTGCCAAAAAGGCATTCTAGTTTACAGAGTGACATCTACACAGACACAAAGCAAGCTGTCTGCAGGAGGAAGCAAACAAGTGAACCTAATCCCACATAAACTGTGACTTTGTCACACTGTGTGTATTGTAAAGATGTGTGATGTACAATGGTTGCCCGTAATTATTCTGTGAGCCATTAGTCTTGATGTGTTGGAAAAGACCTCACTTAGACTTCCTTGTTCATTTTAAGGTTTCTGGTTTTATTATACTGTTGATTTTTTTTTTTTTTAACCCATCTTCCCTGCAAGGCTCTGGAGAAAAATCAGCAGTGGCTTGTGTATGATCAGCAGCGAGAGGCCTTCGTTAGGGGACTGTTAGCAAAGATCTTTGAGCTGGAAAAAATGGAAACATCTGCTCCTTCACTCCCACAGCAGACGAAAACAGCTGCATTGGAAGGTACTGACTGGTATAGAAATGTTCTTTGGGATAGGACTGACATTTCCCCAAAGGAGTGATTCATCAAACTTAGATTTTTATAGATGTGTTAGAAAGTAAAATAAGAGGAAATCTTTTAATCTTTTGAAATAAGAAATACCATTTTACAAGTCTATTTCATTTCCTAATGTTTTCAGATACGAGCAGGGCACAAGTCACAGATTAGAGGATCATCTCTACATTTCCCCCACCCATGTCCTTCCTCTCCTTTAAAGGACTGCCCCACTGTTATTTCCCCTAGAGCTGGCCTTTTGATCACTTCTCTTTTATTTTTCTTCCTTTCAGCGCTTACTCATATCAACCCCAGGAGAAAGAATACCTGTTTTGTGTTTTTCCTTTGTTTCATTTTCTGTTTTAAGACGGGGTCTCCATACGCAGTGCAGATAGGACTTATGATCCTCCTGCCTCAGCCTCCTGAGTAGCTGGGATTACAGGTACAAACTACCACATCTGGCTAAGAATTTTATAGATGATTCTTTAGTCATTTGAAGCTCACCATGAACTTGAGATGGTATTTCCTACTCATACTGCTATCATTTGGCCTAGTGCTTTGCATTTTCTGTAACACTGATCTCACTTGAGTTTGACAATTCTAAGAGGTGGAGCAGGCAGGATCCAGGTCATTAGGCACATTTTACAGATGAAGAAATAAGGTTAGCAATTCTAAGGGACAAACTGGGCAAAAAAGAGAAATTTCCAAGCAAATCACTGCTTAAAAGACTAGCAGTCCTAAGAGGAAAAATGCCTCGAATTCTATAAAGAGAAGTCTGAAGTGAGGCGAGCTCTCCTCCTCATCTCGCAGTTTCGTGCTTGAATATTTAGAACAAAGCTAATGGTCAAGAGAACGTCTCTAGAGATAATTCAGAGCCGTTTATCCCTAAAGGGACAGCGTTACTACTACGGTGTTGTTTCACGTTTACTACTCATAAAAGTAAAATTTTCACTATAGGCTAAGTCTAACTTTTTTCCTTGATAATATAGTACTATTTCTTTCTTACCCTCTTCTTTTCCCTCCCTTCTTGTTTTCTCAAAGTAACATAAGTACTTAATTAATAATAGTACAGAAAGCCCTGCTCTCCCTTTCCATCCCATTGTAATTTTGATTTTGAAAATTATCTCCATATCTATAAATTATGAGCTCTGTTCCTATATTCTGATTCACCTTTAGAAATTAGGAACTTTCTCTCCCCACAAAGTAGTTATATGATTGTTTTCTGTTCTTTTGTGTGTTTGTGACTTCAATAATGTGCCCGAATTCCTGTTTCTTAATCTACCACATATCAATCATATAACACCACCCCCAGCCTTCATTTGGTAAGCTAAAATAGTGGTTTGGTTTCATTTAAAGAAACATGTTTAAAGTTTAACTTCTCATAAATACCATCAGTTTTATAAAATAAAATTTCATAAAATGAGTTGTGCCATAATATTATTTGTCACAGGCGATGTTCAAGAAAAGAAGCAAAAATATTATAACCACCTCTTGGCAAATGCCAAAAAAGATCTTGAGGTTGAAAGACAAACCATAACTCAGTTGAGTTCAGAACTTAATGAATTTCGAAAAAAATATGAAGAAGCTCAGAAAGAAATTCAAGATTTAAATCAGTTGTTGTGCTCACAAAGAAAGGCAGAAGTACAACATCTGGAAGATGACAGACATAAAACAGAGAGAATAGAAAGACTCAACAAAGAGAATAATATTGCGAGGGAAAAACTCGAAGAAGAGAGGAAGCGATCTGAAGAGCTTTCATCTCAGGTAAGCAGGTCTACTCAAGTTTTCCAAAGCTCAGGATGTAGTTTTCATGGAGCCCTTGCCAGGACGAGGGGCAGTTTTAACCACTAGGGAGCTAGCAAGGAGCAAAACAAATTTCTAACCTCTTGTGAGAGTTTATAGTCCGTAAAGAACTACCTAAACAATTGAATAAACAAAAGAAAATAAAACAGGGTGATGTGGTAGAGAAATTAGGGGCTCCTGAGGCCTCTGAGAGGAGACAGTATTTGAACAAAGACCTGATGACAAGAAGGAACCAGCAAGATAACTTTCTGGGGAAATTCCTTCCCAGGAGAAAAATATGCACAGTAAGGGTTCTGAGCGAGAAGGTTGTAGGTACATGTGAGAAACAAAAAGAAAGTGCAAACTAGTGTGAGGAATCTAGGCTGCTTTCTAGGTTGGCATCTTGGTCCTGCTGACGTGGTGCTCCAGAGAATTCACACAGCACCTTCCATGTTCTTGTTACCCTCACAGCTTTAGCTAGGATGCCTTAGTAATGTTGATGGTACTAGATTAAGATTATTAGGACTGAATACTACTTTGACAAAATAATCATTACTTTAAATTTGTCTTGGTTGCATCGAGTCCACACCTGGTCTAATCTAGTTCAGGATTTGCCTTAGGCAAATCATCTGCCTTCTGTGACTCAAAAGTTATTTGCTGGTCAAATAAATAATAGCTTCTACTTCCCTCATCAGGCTTTTGTAATTCAGGGTCAGTTGAGGAACTGTGAAGATGCTTTGAAAACTAAATAAATATCAGTGTTAGTTATTACTACTATTAAAATGGTAATTTTTCAAATCCTCCAGAAGTTGAGAGATCATCTTTATTGCTTTTGGGACAGATCAGCAGAAATGATTATTTTGCCCCAACTCTGCAGCCAGGGAGGTGAGGCACCGCCCACTTTGTTACCCTAACCTAAAAGGATAGCAGAAATTGGAAGCTCCGGGAAAGGGAGTATGAGCACTGCTTCTCAGTGGTCAGTCGGTTGGCTCAGGGAGCGCCCAGGGAAGTCCTGCTCACTTGCTTGTGCATGGAGCTGTCCAGGGTGAGTGACCACCTCGCAGGTGCTTCCTGGTTAGAGATGTGACTTGTGTTGGAAGCGTGTCAGGCAGCCCATGTCAGGTGAAGAAGGGTCAGGTGAGACAACTCTGTGTCTCTTTGAATCCCACAGGTGCAGTTTCTTTACACATCTTTGTTAAAGCAGCAAGAGGAACAAACAAGGGTGGCTCTGTTGGAGCAACAGGTATTTACTGGGGTTGCACCTAAATTTAGTTTGGGCTGTTAGAAAATGGATTTTTGGAGCCGGGCATGTAGCTCAGTGGTTCTGCCACCTGCCTTGCAAGCGCAAGGACCAGCGTTTGATCCCTGGTACCAAAAAAAAGAAAATGGATTTTTTTCTTGTGTTTACACTGTTCTATGGAGAACTATTTGAGAGTTGTAAAAAGTGTCCTGAAAAGATGAAGCATATTTCAAAAGACTCTACTATTCATATGTTGCTGGCACTGTCTTAGGCTAAATGAGATTCTTTGGGGTATGATGACTGTTTTCTTGGTCTTGGCAAATTTTGTTCTCCCCCAGAGGCTGTAATTTCCATTTTAGCCTAACAAGTTCTCTGAACAGGGCCATCTTACCGTTTCAGGCAGAATGCAGAGATACTGTCTATTCTCAGAATACACAGCAGAGTCTTAGTATATTCTAAACCAATAGCCAGATCTTTTCTGCTTTCTCTCTCGCTCACAAAAAAAGAGGATGAGGAAAGACTATTTCCACCAGCAACTTCCTAAACTTCTGTTAATCCCCCTACACCTCAAGCTTTAGCTTTGCTTCTTGGATAAACTGAGTCCTCACCATAAACTCCATTTATTAACATCTCCCTGTGCTCAGGTAAATTGTCGTTAGGATGATACAACAAATATTTTCCTGTGCAGATAAAAAAATGCAAGCATCTAGTCAAGAGAACTAGGCAGGGCCTACCAGTTGTAATTGTCTTGTTCTGGGTATTTTCCAGATGCAGTCATGTACTTTAGACTTTGAAAATGAAAAACTTGACCGCCAAAATATGCAGCACCAATTGCATACAATTCTTAAGGAACTCCGAAAAGCAAGAAGTCAAATAACACAGTTGGAATCCTTGGTGAGTTTGGAATGAGTAACCTAAACCTTTTCTTCTTTCTTTTTCTGCCATCTTTGTGTTTATATGTCAAACCGGTTCCCATACCATGAAGATACAGTTTAAGGAACAGCTAGCTTGACTCCAAATCAGTAGGCAGACCCCTGCCTAACTTCAAGCATTTTCCTTTAGAGCATCAGTTCAGAGTTCAGAAAGAGGGATATATGTACCTCTCGGTAATAACTGCATCTGTGTCTGGGATCATTCCCCACTCGTCCCAGATATGATTCTGGAGGTATTAAATAGCACCAGGTTTAGGAGAGAGGGGTGAGAGGGTGAGAGAGGGTGCTACAGAATGCTGACCTGAAATAGAGAGAGAAAAGTTCATTGGTTGTTTCAGGGATAGTGGGTTGTTATTGTTAATAGGCTCTTAAAGTATAGTATGAGTTAAGTATATTTTTGAGTTGCCCTGAAAACATAGCCTTTTCTTTTTTTTTTGGTTGCTGGGGATCTAACTCAGGACCTTGTGCTTGTTTGGCAGGGGCGGTGCCACTGAGCTAAATCCCCCAAAACGTAGTCTTTTAAATTATAAACCTTTTAAATAAAACAGTTTCTATGAGGAAATGATTTTTTAGTTATTTTTATCTTATGTATAAATTTTAAGACTAAGCCTGTTAGTTAGTGTGTGTGTGTGTGTGTGTGTGTGTGTGTGTGTGTGTGTGTCTCCCATGTTGTCCTAACACTGCAAAATATTTGGAGTTGGTAAAATGTTACAAATAGAACTTCCTTGCCAGGCACAGTGGCACACGCCTGTAATTCCAGCACTTGGGAGCCTTAGATAGGAAGACTGAGGTCAAGGTCATTCTGGGCTATATAGCAAGAACCTGCCTAAATAAGTAAATAAAGTAATTTATAATTTCTATATGAATAAAAAACCAAAATACAAATCTGGCTCAATTCTTTGGTATGCCATTGATTTTGACCATTTAAGACGGTGATGGGGACATTTTAGAGCTTTCAGTGACAACAGAGCCTGCAGTGGCACCTGTGTCACAGGTTTGTCCCCGCTGGTTTCTAGTATTTGAAATTAAAGGTTAATGATCATTTTCAAAATATAGGAAGCCTTGAAGATGCTAAAGAAATTACCATTTTTCTGTGCTTTTATGTTCCTATTGTACATTGTCCTCATAGGTGATGTATAATACTTATTTTTGAGCTTTCTTGATTATTCTAAGTTCTTCAGGAGAAAGCATGAAAAATGAAAGTCTCAAAAGTATACAATATCTTACCCATTTCTGTGTATAGTCTGATCTGTTAAAATTCTTAATTTTATGTAGTTTTTTTTTTTTAATTACTGGATATGCCAGTTTTACAAAACTAACAAATTTGGTGAGCCTAGCACACAGGCTCCAAGTCTCTTAATAAATCTTGTCTATGTGAGCCTCCAAGTTAGTACTTTCTTGGGCAAATCAAGTAATTATAGTAATTATCTGAGTAATTTATAACTACCTCATATGTTACCACCAAAATACTGATGAACAGAGATTAAAAAAAACAAAACAAAAGACTTCTAGCATTAAAGGAGCTAAGGAATCTATGAAATGGTTAAAATTGGTGAACGGTGGGTCTGATGTACAAATGGTATTTGGTTAAAATTTATTTTTCAGAAGCAACTTCATGAGTTTCCCTTCACAGAGCCATTAGTTACTTTCCAAGGAGAGACTGCAAACAAAGTGAAAGTTTCCTCACCAAAAAGCCCCACTGCTGCACTAAATGAAAGTCTGGTGGAATGCCCCAAATGCAACGCACAGTATCCAGCCACTGAGCATCGAGATCTGCTTGTCCACGTGGAGTACTGTTCAGAGTAGCAAAATGGTTATTCTTTGTTTTTAGGCCAAAAGATTTTATACTATATCCTCTGTTTGCTTATGGATATTTCCAATTTCATTTTCCACCTCTGGCTTAAGGAACTGCCTATCTACCTTTGACACTCGGGCATATGAATGAATCATTGTATTTTTTGGCTGCTTTGCATTTCCTTGGCGGTGATACCCCTCCATGAGACGGTTCATCTTCAGGCTGCAGTGACAGAGACTACTCATGTTTTGCATGACTAAAGTACTTGATAAAGAAAAGGTAGTTTAGATTATTGCTTGTGGGTTAAATCTATTGTTCTAGCAAGCAAATATTTTATATTATGTGGGATTTTTAATAATCAAAAGTAATTGACTGTTTTGACATTTTTATCTAAGATCTTAGTATAGCAACAGTTCTAATTTTAATGGCCATGGGTTCACTTTTTTCTGGCTATTGTAGAGTTGTTAATAGAAATGTTGGGAATTTTTATAATCTTTATTGCTGCTTGCTTGCTGTTGAAACTATAAACCCATTTGTATGCTAAGAGCAAAACTGATTCTGCTTGAGAAATACTCTCGGTAGCCCTATGCAATGTCTTCTCTCATATTATCTGGCTTTCACTTTTAACCTGAATTTCGTTAGCACACAATGGTTAAAACTGATTTTAAGAAAACCATCCAGCCTTCTTTGATTTGCAGATATTTTGTTTTTTGCCATTTTTGGCATTCCTACATCTGGGCAATGTAATTATTAAATATTTGTTTTCTGAATAGATATTTTTTATATATGCTTTGTATAGAAAACGTTTTTAAGTTCAGATTTTCTACTGTGCTTAAACACTGGGCTACTGTTGACAATGCAAAGGAGAACAGAATAAACCTGTTTGATGACTTGCTATGCCTAGTGTATATGTGTATACGTCGGCCGTCCTAAGGTTCCCACCCCATGAGGAGCGTTGCAGGTTGCAGATTAACATGTACTGGAAGACGGTAAAATAGTTGGGGAAGTAGCAGGACCAGCAACTTTGTGACGATGGCAAAAGCAGTAGTGAAACGCTCACAGACATCTGCGAAGATACCAATTCTTGATCAGAAGGGTGATGTTTGACTTTATTAAATATTTGTTTTCTGAATAGATATTTTTTATATATGCTTTGTATAGAAAACGTTTTTAAATTCAGATTTTCTACTGTGCTTCAACACTGGGCTACTGTTAACAGTGCAAAGGAGAACAGAATAAACCTGTTTGACGACTCGCTGTGCCTAGTGTATGTGTATACGTTAGCTGTCCTAAGATTCCCGCCCCATGAGGAGCGTTGCAGGCTGCAGATTAACATGTACTGGAAGACGGTAAAACAGTTGAGGAAGTAGCAGGACCAGCAACTTTGTGACGATGGAAAAGGAGTAGTGAAATGCTCACAGACATCTGCGAAGATACCAATTCTTGATCAGAAGGGTGATGTTTGACGTATTCATTATAAAGCCAAAATAATAACCATGCTCAGTCATATACTTGGAGGTCTTTTGACCTTAGAAATTATACAGATCTGTTGTAGAAATAAAATTTTTCCTTTATTGTTACTAATCTCGGGTTCACAATATCTTCAGCCATAGCTGGACAAAAGATAGAGAAATACTCTTCAGCCAGATGGTTCTTGTTTTGCCCTACAGTGTTATGGTGAAGACCACAGTATTTAATTATACCATAACTACTTGAATAGATGCCATAAGGAAGTTGTTCCCTTGTAGTTTTTAAGCAGACCCGGTATCATTTCTAGTCTGTAGACATGAAAATACCTTGGTCATTCACTGGGTAGTGGAGTCGGAAGTAGAGCCCAGGCCTTTGGTCTCTGCCTGTGTAGAGTAAGGGGTGTAACCTCGTGGGATGACTGGCTAGGACTTAACGGTAAGAGAGGCTCAGCCCGAAACCCCAGAGTCTGATTACTGCAGATGAAGGATGATCTGGAGCTTGTTTCAAGAGCCTCACTTTCTATGATTCACTAAAGGGCTACAATTAGGTGCTTTCCCTGCCCACTTCAGCCACCAATATCCCAGTACCAGTATCAAAAATATACTTTGGAAAAATGTCAAGAAAATTGGGCATTTCTGCCATGAAGCTCTCTCAATAAACAGGAGCTTTATACATTTCTGATTAACGGTAGATAGTTCAGAATAGGAAGAATTCTTTCCTTCATCATTTACTGAAACAAGGATCAATAAAGAGTATCTCTTAGACTTGAAAATCTTCAATGTTCTTAGAATTAAAGACCAGTTTTTCTTTTCTTATCCATCTTTTTTCACAGCAAATAACCACCTCCCCTTTGAGTGTGTTTGGCTTTGGGAGTCTATAAACTGTGTGCTAGAATATGCTAGATATTTAATCGACCTGTACTCACTAGTTCTTCATTGCAATTCTGTGAAAATTGTGCTAAAACAAGCGCTATTTTTCAAATGAGAAAATTAAGACTTAATAGAGATTAAACTGTTTGCCCATGGTCATCATTAATGAATGGCAAAGAAGGGATATAAACGGCTCAGTGTGTCTCATTTTCACTATGCTGTTATAGTATTCCCTACCTGCAAATGCTGAGCCTGCTGTGTCAGGGTTCTTTCTTTTTTTAATATTTTACACACAATAAACTGTGCAAATCAAGGAGTTTTGACAGATATATATATTTTTGTAATCATCAGCCAAATAAGGTTTTAGATCATTTCTATTACCATCCCTGGAACTTCATTTCATTCTTTTTCTAGTTCAGAATCTCATCGGAGATAATGTGATTCCTGTTGCCATAGATTAGTTTTATATGTTCTTGAAACTTATGTAAGTGGAATTATATATTTGTGTTTGGCTTCTTTGAATCATCAGTGCTTAGAGATTCTTCTATGTTGTGTATGTAAGTAATTTGTTTTTTAATAGCTGAATAATATTTCATTGTATAAATATACCATATTCCATTCTCCTGTTGAGGATGTGTATTGTTTCGTGTGTAAGTTTTTTGCTTTGCTTGTTTTTTTATGGCACCGGGAATGGAAACCAGAGCCTCATACGCACTAGGCAAGTTCTCTACCACTGAGCTACGCTTTAGCCCCTTACACAGATATTTTTGTGGACCTGTTTTCATTTCTCTTAAGGTAACACTTAGAATTGCTGGGCCACAAGGTAGGTGATATTTATTTTTATTGAAAACTGTCAAAGAACCAGACAAGAAATTCATTTCTCCAGTGCACCTTCACGAGAAGAAACCGTGTAATATAATGGTCAACAACTCTGCCATAAACATAGCAGTGAGTTCCATGCCCCTGACTAAATATCTTTCCATGTAAGTAAAATACCAGGCCCGGAGCCAACTCCCTTACCCTCAAGGCAGGCCATGCCCCACCCTCTACAGTTCTGGTTTATCCTAGAATACTTCAGAGAGTGAGGGGCCCCTCCTCTGCCAAGGGCCTGGTGGGTAACACGAATGAGTCAGGCAGGCCAGCTGCTGGCTGTGAGGCTGGAAGAGCTGTCCAAGGACAAGGAGTACAGTGTGGCTGAATTTTCAGATTTTCCAGAAGAAACCTGGAATTCTTAAAATATGAAATCTCCCAATTTTTAAATGTCAGAAACTAATTTTAACAGTGTGAGCCAAAACATACTTCTAGTTTATGATCTTTGGGGTGCCTGAATGGGAGAAAAGAAAGACTCACTCAATCTGAGATGGAGAGAAAACCGAGGAGTGCTCTCACTCCATGCCTGGTCTCTTAGCACTAAGGTGTCCCTGCTTCCACCTGTATTGAACAGGTGCTGTCCGGGTGACATGGAGAATGTGACCCACCCTGACCTTTCCCTTCCATTTGGCTGCTTCTAAGGGCTGTACTTGGACAAAGCTGACTGATAGTATTTTCTGGGCCCTTTCTGCTCCCCTGAACTAACAATGGAGGGAATGCCACGGCTGCAAGGGAACTGACTGCAAGACCAATGTGTTTTGTCTAGGAATCCCCTCACCCTTGGGGGTTCTGGGAAATGATTCTTGGCCCCCGCATCTACTCCATCACAATATCTGAGGATTATGTTAGGACATGATGGTGTATTACCAAAGACTGGGAACTGCTGATCGAATCCAACCCTGACTGAGGGATACAGTAGAGTCCCAGAGAGCAGAGTGACTTGAGGTTACACGGAGAGCTTGCAGGAGTGGGAGGAAGCCTGAGCTCTCCCGGGCACCAGTTGTTAGAGCCCCTACCATCTTGGTCTGTGTGCTATGGTTTCAGCCACAGTGCTTGTTTCCAACACCCCTACTGCTTTGTTTTCCTACGGCAAGTCTAGTGGTTTGTTGGGCTGGTTTTCTTTTTCTTCTTATTCTCTGTCCTCTCTAGATTCTGATGAGATTTTGGCTCTGGATGGTTGAGTGGACAATAGGCTGGCATCCAAAGGGAGTCTTCCATCTGCCAGTCTAGAAGTAACAGCCAAACAAAGGTAAGATCAGGACCAAGTGAGGGGCTTGCACAGAATGCACAGAGAAGACTAAGCCAGGGGAGTATCTCATGGTTGGGATATAGGTAGGAAACTTCAGAGTAAGCATAGTGTCACCCAAACCAAGCAACCAGAAAATGAACACACACACGCACACACACACACACACACACGCACTAGCATCTGGTGATGACCTTTATTTTGCCTGCCTGACTCATTATATTAACTCCAAGACCATCCCATCTCCCACTAATACAATCTAAGAAGTTGTTACAGGAGGTAAGTTCCCACCTGCAGTTTGTATCTGCAATGTCCCTAAAGGCCCATGTGTTAAAGGTATGTTCCCCCAGAGTGGCACAGTTGGTAAATGTGGAAACTTTAAAAGGTGAGTCCTAGTGGGAGGGCTTCAAAGGGGTCCTGGTCTCTTTTTTCAAGCATATCCTGAGTAATTTGAGATTGACAGTCACATAGCCTTAAAGGTAAGGAAAGCAAACTTGCATGCTAAACTATCAGAGGAAATAATAAAGATTTTGATGAGTATTAAAAACCTTGGAAAAAAGCCACCTTGCTATTTGATTCACAAATTATCTAGAATAGCACATGTGCTGTCTTGCATGGATGGTGAAGGTGTACCTTTTCACTTGATTTTTATAACGTGAGGGGGTAAATGGAGGGGGAGAGTATTAAAAAACCTTTCAAAATATCACTGTAAATGTAACATTTGTTGATTAAATTTAAATCTGTTAATGAATTTAACCATATGATGCTACATGTGACATCATTATCTTGGAGTGAACTTTATGGAAATGATTCTGTTGTAGATCAAAAGGGAAGCACTTCAGGTTTTAAATTTTTGTTTTAC